TCTGCCGTGACTTATCAGGCGAAGCTAAGACAGTGTTTGTCTTCCCACGTTAGGAACTGTGACTCTTATCAGGCGAAGCTAAGACAGTGTTTGTCTTCCCATGTTAGGAACTGTGACTCTTATCAGGCGAAGCTAAGACAGTGTCTTCTCATGTTAGGAACTGACTTACGAATACTATCTCTCTCTCTCTCTCTCTCTCTCTCTCTCTGGTTGGTTAATTAATGGGGTTTGAAGTCTACCACACGAGGGTCATTAAGGTTGGCTGGTGGTTGGTTAATGGGGTTTGAAGTCTGTCTACTACACGAGGGTTATTAAGGTTGGTTAGTTGGTTAATGGGGTTTGAAGTGTATCTACTACACGAGGGTCATTAAGGTTGGTCAGTGAGGGAGGAAGGAGAGGGTGGTCAGGGAGGGGGAAGGAGGGGGTGGTCAGGGAGGGGGAAGGATGGAGTGGTCAGGGAGGGGGAAGAATGGAGTGGTCAGGGAGGGGGTGGTCAGGGAAGGGGAAGGAGGGGGGGTAGTCAGGTTACAACACAATATGCAGAATAACACCTGTGAAAAAATGATAAAATTACCAGCACTTTCGTGATTTCTGACATTATCAAGGAACTGTAAAAATAATACAGCATTGGAAGACATAAGACTGAGATGTGACCTGACACATACACAGGTTGAGAGGCTCTGTATTACAGTTACGATGGTTACATTAATTAATATTCAGACGTGTGTAATGTGATGTGTGTGTGTAGTGTGTGTGTGTGTGTGTGTGTGTGTGTGTGTGTGTGGTGTGTGTGTGTGTAGTGTGTGTGTAGTGTGTGTGTGTGTGTGTGTGTGTGTGTTGTGTGTTGTGTGTGTGTGTGTGTGTGTGTGTGTGTGTGTGGTGTAGTGTGTGTGTAGTGTGTGTGTGTGTGTGTGTGTGTGTGTGTGTGTGTGTGTGTGTGTGTGTGTGTGTACTCACCTAGTTGTACTCACCTAGTTGAGGTTGCGGGGGTCGAGTCCGAGCTCCTGGCCCCGCCTCTTCACTGATCGCTACTAGGTCACTCTCCCTGAGCCGTGAGCTTTATCATACCTCTGCTTAAAGCTATGTATGGATCCTGCCTCCACTACATCGCTTCCCAAACTATTCCACTTACTGACTACTCTGTGGCTGAAGAAATACTTCCTAACATCCCTGTGATTCATCTGTGTCTTCAGCTTCCAACTGTGTCCCCTTGTTACTGTGTCCAATCTCTGGAACATCCTGTCTTTGTCCACCTTGTCAATTCCTCTCAGTATTTGTATGTCGTTATCATGTCCCCCCTATCTCTCCTGTCCTCCAGTGTCGTCAGGTTGATTTCCCTTAACCTCTCCTCGTAGGACATACCTCTTAGCTCTGGGACTAGTCTTGTTGCAAACCTTTGCACTTTCTCTAGTTTCTTTACGTGCTTGGCTAGGTGTGGGTTCCAAACTGGTGCCGCATACTCCAATATGGGCCTAACGTATACGGTGTACAGGGTCCTGAACGATTCCTTATTAAGATGTCGGAATGCTGTTCTGAGTTTGCTAGGCGCCCATATGCTGCAGCAGTTATTTGGTTGATGTGCGCTTCAGGAGATGTGCCTGGTGTTATACTCACCCCAAGATCTTTTTCCTTGAGTGAGGTTTGTAGTCTCGACCCCTAGACTGTACTCCGTCTGCGGCCTTCTTTGCCCTTCCCCAATCTTCATGACTTTGCACTTGGTGGGATTGAACTCCAGGAGCCAATTGCTGGACCAGGTCTGCAGCCTGTCCAGATCCCTTTGTAGTTCTGCCTGGTCTTCGATCGAGTGTATTCTTCTCATCAACTTCACGTCATCTGCAAACAGGGACACCTCAGAGTCTATTCCTTCCGTCATGTCGTTCACAAATACCAGAAACAGCACTGGTCCTAGGACTGACCCCTGCGGGACCCGCTGGTCACAGGTGCCCACTCTGACACCTCGCCACGTACCATGATCGCTGCTGTCTTCCTGACAAGTATTTCCCTGATCCATTGTAGTGCCTTCCCTGTTATCCCTGCTTGGTCCTCCAGTTTTGCACCATCTCTTGTGTGGAAAACTGTGTCAAAACGCCTTCTTGCAGTCCAAGAAAATGCAATCCACCACCCCTCTCTCTCTTGTCTACTGCTGCACCATGTCATAAAACTCCAGTAGGTTTGTGACACAGATTTCCCGTCCCTGAAACCATGTTGGCTGCTGTTGATGAAATCGTTCCTTTCTAGGTGTTCCACCACTCTTCTCCTGATAATCTTCTCCATGATTTTGCATATATACATGTCAGCGACACTGGTCTGTAGTTTAATGCTTATGTCTGTCTCCTTTTTTAAAGATTGGGACCACTTTTGCTGTCTTCCATGCCTCAGGCAAACCCTCCCTGTTTCGATAGATGTATTGAATATTGTTTTTTAGGGTACACATGCGCCTCTGCCCCCCTCTTTTCAATACCCATGGGAGATGTTATCTGGCCCCATTCCCTTTGGGGTATCTAGCTCACTCAGAAGCCTCTTCACTTCTTCCTCGTTGTGTGCACTGTGTCCAGCACTTGGTGTGTGCCCCACCTCTCCGTCTTTCTGGAGTCCCTTCTGTCTCCTCTGTGACACTTCTTTGAATCTCTTCTTGATTTCTTCACATACTTCACGGTCATTTCTTGTTGTCTTCTCCTCCTTCCCTTTCCCTTTGCCTGATTACCTGGTCCTTGACTGTTGTTTCCTCCTGAGTGCTGACAACAGTTTCGGGTCAGATTTGGCTTTCGCTGCTATGTCGTTTTCATATTGCGTTGGGCCTCCCTTCTTATCTGTGCATATTCGTTTTCTGGCTCTACGACTGCTCTCCTTATTCTCCTGGGGGCCTTTGCCTTCTACATTTCTTCCATTCCCTAGCACACTGGTTTTTTTCCTCCCTGCACCTTTGGGTAAACCATGGGCTCATCCTGGCTTTTTCATTATTCCTGTTACCCTTGGGTACAAACCTCTCCTCAGCCTCCTTGTGTGTGTGTTTTTGTGTGTTTTGTGGGGTGTGTTTTGTGTGTGTGTGTGTGTGTGTGTGTTTTGTTTGCTTTGATTTGATTACACATTAATGAGATGCTAAACATGATTGTCAGGAACGAGAGATACTGTCTCTCTCTCTCTCTCTCTCTCTCTATTATATATTTTTTTTTTTTTTTATTATCACACCCTGGCCGATTCCCACCAAGGCAGGGTGGCCCGAAAAAGAAAAACTTTCACCATCATTCACTCCATCACTGTCTTGCCAGAAGGGTGCTTTACACTACAGTTTTTAAACTGCAACATTAACACCCCTCCTTCAGAGTGCAGGCACTGTACTTCCCATCTCCAGGACTCAAGTCCGGCCTGCCGGTTTCCCTGAATCCCTTCATAAATGTTACTTTGCTCACACTCCAACAGCACGTCAAGTATTAAAAACCATTTGTCTCCATTCACTCCTATCAAACACGCTCAAGCATGCCTGCTGGGAAATCCAAGCCCCTCGCACACAAAACCTCCTTTACCCCCCCCCTCCAACCCTTCCTAGGCCGACCCCTACCCCGCCTTCCTTCCACTACGACTGATACACTCTTGAAGTCATTCTGTTTCGCTCCATTCTCTCTACATGTCCGAACCACCTCAACAACCCTTTCCCCAGCCCTCTGGACAACAGTTTTGGTAATCCCCCACCTCCTCCTAACTTCCAAACTACGAATTCTCTGCATTATATTCACACCACACATTGCCCTCAGACATGACTTCTCCACTGCCTCCAGCCTTCTCCCCGCTGCAACATTCATCACCCACGCTTCACACCCATATAAGAGCGTTGGTAAAACTAACTCTCATACATTCCCCTCTTTGCCTCCAAGGACAAAGTTCTTTGTCTCCACAGACTCCTAAGTGCACCACTCACTCTTTTTCCCTCATCAATTCTATGATTCACCTCATCTTTCATAGACCCATCCGCTGACACGTCCACTCCCAAATATCTGAATACGTTCACCTCCTCCATACTCTCTCCCTCCAATCTGATATTCAATCTTTCATCACCTAATCTTTTTGTTATCCTCATAACCTTACTCTTTCCTGTATTCACCTTTAATTTTCTTCTTTTGCACACCCTACCAAATTCATCCACCAATCTCTGCAACTTCTCTTCAGAATCTCCCAAGAGCACAGTGTCATCAGCAAAGAGCAGCTGTGACAACTCCCACTTTGTGTGTGATTCTTTATCTTTTAACTCCACGCCTCTTGCCAAGACCCTCGCATTTACTTCTCTTACAACCCATCTATAAATATATTAAACAACCACGGTGACATCACACATCCTTGTCTAAGGCCTACTTTTACTGGGAAAAAATTTCCCTCTTTCCTACATACTCTAACTTGAGCCTCACTATCCTCGTAAAAACTCTTCACTGCTTTCAGTAACCTACCTCCTACACCATACACATTGCAACATCTGCCACATTGCCCCCTATCCACCCTGTCATACGCCTTTTTCCAAATCCATAAATGCCACAAAGACCTCTTTAGCCTTATCTAAATACTGTTCACTTATATGTTTCACTGTAAAACCTGGTCCACCACCCCCTACCTTTCCTAAAGCCTCCTTGTTCATCTGCTATCCTATTCTCCGTCTTACTCTTAATTCTTTCAATTATAACTCTACCATACACTTTACCAGGTACACTCAACAGACTTATCCCCCTATAATTTTGCACTCTCTTTTTATCCCCTTTGCCTTTATACAAAGGAACTATGCATGCTCTCTGCCAATCCCTAGGTACCTTACCCTCTTCCATACATTTATTAAACAATTGCACCAACCACTCCAAAACTATATCCCCACCTGCTTTTATATATATATATATATATTATATATATTTTATATATATATATATATATATATATATTTCATCATTAACAACCTAGCAATATCTCCACCAACACAACATTAATAGAGGGGGGGGTCCAGGAGCTGTAGGTCAACTCACAGTCTTGGTGCCCAGGTTATTGACCCGACAGACCAGGTGGGCAGTCTGACCCTCCACGGCTGACACGTTAGAGGTCACGCTGGGGTCAAACACGGGGTCAAACAACGTGTTGAGGTAGTCACTCCACGACCCTGGATCAAGATCACTTTCGTCTGCGTCACCCACCTCCTCTGCGTCAGTGTCTGGGTCGCGGGGAGAGAGCGCAGAGCTAGACGCACTGCTGCTTCTTGCGTCACTGCGTCCGTCTGACGCATCCGCTCTAGCTGTTGTAAGATAATTAAGTTATAGACGTTATTATTATTATTATTATTATTATTATATTATTTATTATTATTATTTTTTTATTTTTATTATTATTTTATTATTATTATTATTATTATATCAGTGTTTTAGTGTTAAAAATAGAGTAAGAAAAAATATTTTAATACCAGAGGGAAAAAATTAAAATTTTTTAACGGAATAAATTAATAACAGTTAAAAGTTGAATACAGATGTAGCACCACCAGCACTTGTAGCACCACCAGCACTTGTAGCACCACCAGCACTTGTAGCACCACCAGCACTTGTAGCACCACCAGCACTGTTGTAGCACCACCAGCACTGTTGTAGCACCACCAGCACTTGTAGCACCACCAGCACTTGTAGCACCACCAGCACTTGTAGCACCACCAGCACTGTTGTAGCACCACCAGCACTTGTAGCACCACCAGCACTTGTAGCACCACCAGCATTTGTAGCACCCAAACCCGCACTGTTGTAGCACCACCAGCACTTGTAGCACCACCTGCACTTGTAGCACCACCAGCACTTGTAGCACCACCAGCACTTGTAGCACCACCAGCACTTTGTAGCACCACCAGCACTGTTGTAGCACCACCAGCACTTGTACCAGCACTTGTAGCACCACCAGCACTTGTAGCACCACCAGCACTGTTGTAGCACCACCAGCACTGTTGTAGCACCACCAGCACTTGTAGCACCACCAGCACTGTTGTAGCACCACCAGCACTTGTAGCACACCACACTTGTAGCACCACCAGCACTTTGTAGCACCACCAGCACTGTTGTTAGCACACCAGCACTTGTAGCACCACCAGCACTTGTACACCACCAGCACTTTGTAGCACCACCAGCACTTGTAGCACCACCAGCACTTGTAGCACCCAGCACTTGTAGCACCACCAGCACTTGTAGCACCACCGCACTTGTAGCACCACCCGCACTTGTAGCACCACCAGCACTTGTAGCACCACCAGCACTTGTAGCACCACCAGCACTTGTAGCACCACCAGCACTTGTAGCACCACCAGCACTGTTGTAGCACCACCAGCACTTGTAGCACCACCAGCACTTGTAGCACCACCAGCACTTGTAGCACCACCAGCACTTGTAGCACCACCAGCACTTGTAGCACCACCAGCACTGTTGTTAGCACCACCAGCACTGTTAGCACCACCAGCACTTGTTTGCACCACCAGCACTTGTAGCACCACAGCATTTGTAGCACCACCAGGCACTGTTGTAGCACCACAGCACTTTGTAGCACCACCAGCACTTGTAGCACCACCAGCACTTGTAGCACCACCAGCACTTGTAGCACCACCAGCACTTGTAGCACCACCAGCACTTGTAGCACCACCAGCACTTGTAGCACCACCAGCACTTGTAGCACCACCAGCACTTGTAGCACCACCAGCACTGTTGTAGCACCACCAGCACTTGTAGCACCACCAGCACTTGTAGCACCACCAGCACTTGTAGCACCACCAGCAACTTGTAGCACCACCAGCACTTGTAGCACCACCAGCACTGTTGTAGCACCACCAGCACTTGTAGCACCACCAGCACTTGTAGCACCACCAGCACTGTTGTAGCACCACCAGCACTTGTAGCACCACCAAACACTTGTAGCACCACCAGCACTTGTAGCACCACCAGCACTTGTAGCACCACCAGCACTTGTAGCACCACCAGCACTTGTAGCACCACCAGCACTTGTAGCACCACCAGCACTTGTAGCACCACCAGAACACTTGTAGCACCACCAGCACTTGTAGCACCACCGCACTTTGTAGCACCACCAGCACTTGTAGCACCACCAGCACTTGTAGCACCACCAGCACTTGTAGCACCACCAGCACTGTTGTAGCACCACCAGCACTGTTGTAGCACCACCAGCACTTGTACCAGCACTTGTAGCACCACCAGCACTTGTAGCACCACCAGCACTTGTAGCACCACCAGCACTTGTAGCAGCACTTGTAGCACCACCAGCACTTGTAGCACCACCAGCACTTGTAGCACCACCAGCACTTGTAGCACCACCAGCACTAGTAGCACCACCTGCACTGTTGTAGCACCACCAGCACTTGTAGCACCACCAGCACTTGTACCAGCACTTGTAGCACCACCAGCACTGTGTTAGCACCACCAGCACTTGTAGCACCACCTGCACTGTTGTAAGCACCACCTAGCACTGTAGGGACCACCAGCACTTGTAGCACCACCAGCACTTTGTTTGCACCACCAACACTAGTGCACCACCTGCACTGTTGTAGTCACCACGCACTTGTAGCACCACCAACACTAGTGGCACCACCTGCACTGTTGTAGCACCACCAGCACTTGTAGCACCACCAACACTAGTGGCACCACCTGCACTGTTGTAGCACCACCAGCACTTGTAGCACCACCAGCACTAGTGGCACCACAAGCACTGTTGTAGCACCACCAGCACTAGTGACACCACCAGCACTGTTCTAGCACCACCAGCACTCCTTTAGCACCGCCAGCACTGTTGTAGCACCGCCAACACTAGTGGCACCACCAGCACTGTTGTAGCACCACCAACCCTGTTGTAGCACCACCAACACTAGTGGCACCACCAGCACTGTGTAGCACCACCAACACTTGTAGCACCACCAACCTGTTGTAGCACCACCAACACTAGCGGCACCACAACACGTTGTAGCACACCAAATTGTAGCAACCCCCAGCTTGTTGTAGCCCCACCAACATTTGTAGCACCACCAACATTGTGCACCCACCAGCACTGTTGTACACCCACCAAACATATTGTAACCCGCATGTTGGCACCACCAGCCTTTTTGTAGCACCCCAAAATAGTGGCCCACAGCATTTGAAACCCCCCCAACATTTGTAGCCCCAAACGCCTGTTGTAGCACCACCAACACTTGAGCACCCCCAGACTGTTGTAGCCCACCAACCTATTTTAACACCAGCTTGCGTAGCCCCACCACAATTATCACCACAACACTGTTCTGCACCACCACACTTGTGGCCCCCCCAGCATTTTGTAGCACCAGCACTTTTGTAAAAACCACATTTGAGCACCACAAAAATTTGTAGCACCACCAACCAATTTGTAAACCCAACTTTAAGACCACCAGCATGTTGTAGCCCACCAAAAAAACTGAAACACCAACACTGTACGCCCACATAACTTTAAAAACCACATTGTGACCACCGCAATTGAGACCACCCCAAATTTTCAGACCACCCTCATTGATCGCACCCCCAAACTTTCAGCAGCTCAAAAACCCCCAGCACACCAACACTGACCCACCCCAACACACCCCCCACCACCCGACCTCCCCCCAAAAAAGCCCCCCCAAACCCCACCCCAACCCCCCCCAAGCCCCAAAAAAACCCCCCCCACCACCCAAAAGACCACCCCCTTCCCCCAAAAACCCCCCCAAAAATGCCAAACCCCTTCCCGACCCCCCCCAACAAACCCTCCTGCCCAAAAGGCATGCTCCCAAAATTTTTTCCTTTTCTCCTTTTTAAAAAAACCCTGGGGAAAATTAAAATAAATTTTTAAATTTTTTTAAGTAAAATTTTTTTTAAAAATAAAAAAAATTTTAAATTTAAAATTAAGGTTCCCTACCCAATTTTAAATTAAAATATAAACTAAAAAATATTTAAATTTAAAGGGACTTTAAGAATAACCATGAAATTAAATAAATTTTTAAACCCTTTTTTTAAGTCTTTTTTAAAAAATAAATTTAAAAAAAGACCTTTTTATTTTTTTAAAAGTTTCCCAAACCCCAATTTTTTTTATAAGGGAAAAATTTTAAAAATTTTTTAAAATTTTTTAAAAATTTTAAAAATTTTTTTATCCCCCCTTTTTTTTTTAACCTTCAAAAATTAAGGGAAATTTCCATATAGGGATATTAAAATTTTATTAAATTTTTAAAATTTAATATTTTTTAAAAGGTTTTTTTTAAACAAAAAAAAGTTTTCTTAAAAACCCCTTTTTAAAAATTTTAAAATAAATTTTCTTAAAATTTTTAAAAATTTAAAATTTTAAAAATTTTAAAAAAAAAATATTAAAATAAATTAAAACTTATTAAAAAAAATAAATTTTTCATTTTTGTTTATAAAATTAAAAAAAGTGACTGTTATAATGAAGAGTTAATTGATAGGGTTATAGTTATAATGATATAGTTATAATGATAGGGGTTATATTTAAATTAAGGATAAGGTTATATTTTATAATGATATAGTTATGATGAAAATTTATATGGATAGAGTTATATGGAATAGTTATTAATAAAATAGATTTTATAGGGGGATAGTTATATGAATAGAGTTTAGATAGGGGTTTATATGGATGAGTTATAATGATAGGGTTATATGATAAGTTATAATGGATAGGGTTTATAGGGATAGAGTTATAGATAGGTTATATGGATAGAGTTTATATGATAGAGTTAAAATGGAAAAGATTTTATATGATAGAGTTATATGATAGAGTTATATGATAAGAGTTTATAATGATAGAGTTATATGATAGAGTTATATGATAGTTATAATGATAGAGTTATATGATAGAGTTATATGGATAGTTATAATGATAGAGTTATATGATAGAGTTATATGGATAAGTTATAATGATAGAGTTATAAGATAGAGTTATATGATAGTTTTAATGATAGAGTTTATATGCTAGAGTTATAATGATAGGTTTAAAATGATAGAGTTTATAATGAAAGTTATATGATAGATTTTATAATGATGAGTTATATGGGGATAGTTTTATGATAGAGTTATATGATAGAGTTATAATGATAGAGTTATAATGATAGAGTTATAATGTTTAGAGTTTATAATGTAGAGTTATAAATGATAGAGTATTATGATAGGGGTTTATATGGATAGTTTATAATGATAGAGTTATATGATAGATTTATATGGATAGTTATAATGATAGAGTTATATGATAGAGTTATATGGAAGTTAT